CTCTCTCTCTCTCTCTCTCTCTCTCTCTCTCTCTCTCTCTCTCTCTCTCTCTCTCTCTCCTCTCTCTCTCTCTCTCTCTCTCTCTCTCTCTCTCTGAACACCATGTGTTTTGGTGTCATCCCCCGAAATGGAATGCAGACATGTATTAAAGGTGTTGTCTTTAATGCAGTCCTTGTATGGAATGTTGTTGTTGTTTTCGCAAACGAAATTTGCAGAAATATGAAATGGTGAATACCCTCACACAGTCGTCGATGTAGATGTGTTCATTGTTAATCGTCCCGCACAGTGGCTGTCAATTCATTGCAATTCCAGATTTGGAAATTTGTTCTTTCTTTTCTTTTAATTATTTCATGCCCGCGTAACTTCTCCGGTTGGGGTGGCGGTTGTCGGAAGTCCATGGTGGGGGTTCCTGACCCCCCCCTTCCATGTGTGTGCTATGGCGCTTTGTCGGGGGGTGGGGGGGTATTGCGATCTCGTCATGCGGGTCGTCGTTGGCGTGGTCCGCTTGTCGTAGTGGTGCGTCATGTTTCGTAACCTTTTTTTTATTATTATTGGAGACATGGATGACCGATGTTCGCAGTTAAAGCGAACATGTATTCATTCAATGATGCGAATGATGTGTACAACTTTGCACTGCTTTTTCTTTTTTCATTTCATTGTACATGTGAAATGGCATAGCAGGTTTCTGAATGTGGTAGGGGCTGCTTTCTTGAAGCGATGGCATGATAACAACGTCTGGGATGTTCATAGCTCGGTTTGGGAACACGAAACAAACAATGAACACATTGCAAATGTAAGATGGACACACGACAATACAAATGATACACATGATGTCATGCAAATTGTTTTTTTTTTTCAGTTGCCGTAAAAGAAGAAGAGAAGACACGCAATACAATTGAATGACACGAGATGTTGCGACTTTGTTGTCATTCGCAGGATATAAAGAAGACAACACAATTTGAAAAAAAAGGTCCGCCATGGAGTGTTGAATCCCAAGTTCCGAAAAATAGAACACACACCTCCAAAATCGACTACGTAACCCCAACACCTCTCCCGCGGTGGTAACGCAGTGCACCTAAACTACTATCGCCACGCACGCGGTCGTGACGTTGCCCCCACCGAGGACACGTCGGACTGCACCATCGCCATGCACCCGCAACCGCAATTCTCTCTTCATGGTCGCGCGTAACAAAACAACACATAAGGTAACTGGCCACTTACACCGCGTAAAGCACGCCACCCCACAACGAAACAGCCCCCGCGCCATTAACTACCCCGATCCACAAAAGAAGCCCACAAACAAAACGACGCCGATGTGGATGTTGACCCCTTCAAGGACACGTGGCCTTTCGCCGTGGACGGACCACAACCTAATGGCGGCAGATCGGAGGGCAGCCATTTCATGACGACACTCTATCGTCGGTGGAAGGGGGAACCGAGAACACCCCCTCATGGACGGTATACAATCTCCTTGTTGGCTTCCCGTGTCGTCTGCGCCGCTTTCTCGCCGCACGCATGTCATCGCAGTCGAGCAATCCGCACGCCTGGCCGTCTTCACTGCGCACTCATTCGCTCCGCCAGTGTGTGCCGACTCCATGCACATCGGCCTCAAGGGCCTGTGTATCCCAAGATCCATCCGGCGACACACACTGTTAGGGCCCACCTCCCACAGTAGATTGTCATTGAATGGGATGCCTGCATCGATCAGTATGTTGTGCAAAAGGCACACAGTGACGACCTGCTGCAGCAATGTGTCCATGTTCGTCTTATGGGAGCGAAGGAATAACCTCCACATCCCCTTCAGTCTGTCGAAAGCCCTTTCAACTGCCCCCCTCGCCGTCTTCTGCTTGTTGTCAAAGCGCAACTCCGACGGGTCATTTGCGAGACCGCCATACGGGACGACTACCCATTTGGAGGGCGAATAATCGTTGTCGCCCAGCAAATACCCGTTCGTCTGCACTTGGAAAGGCGGCATGACAGGTGGCCCCGTGAAAAGCTCCCCTGCCTCCGCGCGCGACCATAAACTTGACAGGCGGATGATCCTGACGTCGTGGCAACTTCTCGGATAACCGACGACACGTCAAGCACCCGCAAGTTCATATCGACGACCACTTGCGCCTGGACGAAGAAACGGCGTTTTCGATTGTAGTAGTCCACCCCGGGGGCGTTCGCGGGCTTGTCGATGTAGATGTGGGTGCAGTCGATGCATCCATGGCAGTTCGAGAAACCCCTGTCAACGAAAGCGCGCAAGACGACCGCCTTCTGCAGCCCCTTTGGCCACGATATCTTGTCAGGGTACGCACTCAGCAATGCCGCAGTCACGTCCCACACAGCCACCAACCCAGATGATCTACCAATGCCGAAGTTGCATGTCCCGCTCTCATGTGTCTCCCCCGATGCCCACCGGTACAAAGCGTACGCAACAATGTGGTCGGGCTGTAACGGCTGCCTATAGAAAGTGACACATCGCTGCAGGAAGGGAAACAGAGCTTCCGCGATCTATTGGAACGCACGTGGCGACATGCGCAGCTTCTCCCTAAAGTAGTCTGCTGTCTCGTCGTCGCATTGCCGCAAATCCTCCCACGTCCCCCCTGTCCGTTGCTTCATCCACCACCTGGGCGTCGCACTGGGAAAAGCTCCACACCCCATGGCATAGCACACCTGCTGCACGACGTCGCAAATGGCAGCATTGTCGAAGCCCTCCACATTCATGGATTGCAGCGTCTTCTTCCACCATGCGCGAACCGCCGCTCTCATCCTCCCCTTACTCCTCTCCATTTGACAGTGAAAAAGGATGACGTTCACGGCCGCTGCCACCACCGTCCTCTCCGCCGTGCTCAGCACGTCACGGCCCGACTCCCTGTTCATGTCCATCGCCAATATTGCTTCTGTCGACATGGACATCGCGAACTACACAACACTCCACCACCGCCAAGGCACAGTACAACAATGCCGTGAGTGACGAATGGAGTACACGGCATAGACGTCGATGACGACGCCCAGTGGCACTTGGCAAGATGACAACGACGACGATCGTGTGACGGCGTGTCTGCTGCTTCAGATGTCTACATGTATGTTCGTCGTACCCGCCAACACCCAGCCGCCACCCCGTACTCAAACGCTTCCGCAGAGGAACGTTGTCGGCGCGAATACCCTGACAAGGGTATCCGCCCTGTTTTTTGCAAGCAACAGAAAATAAGCTTAGTTTAAAGTTCGAGCATACCGCACGAAACGCGGTAGTGCCAGTGGTTTACGTTGGCTGAGTGGCTGATTAGAGTAGAGAGCGTGTGGGCGCGTAAGTTTAGGACGCGCGTGTGATTTTCTATGTTTGGTTTGGATGGTGATGATTGGCATAAGTTGACCAGCATGAAATTTTCACCATTAAAATAGAGTATGAGCTTGAAAGTCTCGCTGTATCATCCGTCTGACTAACGGTGGGTTGACGCGTAGGGAGGCGCCCGTGACGGCCGCGACATAGTTGCGCATGCTGGCGCGGAAGTCTGACGGTTGCACACTTGGGCACAGGAGAAAAGACGCGGTCTAGGTGGTGTTCGTGGACCCAGGCGCGGCGTTGCACTGCTTATATGTGATTCTGCGCCTGTTGGCCTCAGGCTTGGGCTTGGCCCTATAGGTTACGACATTGGGTTGCTGCTACGGAGGTTCGGGGATCGAGGCCAGCATACGCGACGAGGGAGCAGCGGAGCATCATGGAAGGAATTGAGGGGTTGGGGGTCCGCCGGGGCTATCCCCCTCAGTTTTGCTGACAGGCGTGACGACGGGGCCGACTCATGGCGAGGTGCCAACAGTTCCCCGTTTCCAGTTTATGGTTTTTATATATCTGTCTTTATATTTTTATTTTTGTTAATGGTCCCGTTCCGTTTTGGGACTCGGTACCGTGACTGGAGCTACTACCCAGGAGCCTAGCTCGGAAGGTACACCCATGAACTGTTGAAATACAGACCCGACTTTGAACCCAGACGATGAAATTTAATAAGCAAAGTCGGGCGTCCTGAATGGCCCGGGACTGCTCAGGCCTCGGTAGTTCTGCGAGGTACTACCGTGGATGGAGCCCTCCGGGACATCCGTTAAAGCTGGAATGATACAGAGAAGATTAGTGGTAGCCTGTGTGCAGAGTAGCTAGTCAGTAGCAAGCTGGACCCGTCTGAACCCGGCTGCAATAAAGGCCAAATTCGAGCATAGTACTCTAGGATAGGGGTAGCCGCGGCTAGTGTGCGCAAATCGTGTGAAGTAGGGGCGTGGCCTTTCCTGGTTGACAGACGAATGAAGTAACTTCCGCAAGAACCGAGGAAGATTCATCCGGCAAGCCTACCCGAAAAGAAAGTATGGAGTGGGGAGTGGTTAACGTGTGAGGACTTACCAGATGGGCAGCGCTGCTGACACGCCCGATTGAGAGGGGTAGCGCGGGGGCGTATCAGTTGATAAATTTTTGGAGCGTTGCACGTCGGACGAATTGTGCTTGTGTTGTCGTTCCGCTGCATATATGTAGGCAGAGAAGGAGAGAAAGTTGAGGTGAGCACTGGGCGTTATGGATT